TTTTTTCCTGTGTACGAGATTTCTGATACGAAAAACTGTCTTGAACATTTTTAGAAACTATCGTTGATACAGATATAAAGAAAAGATCGTTTCCTCGGTTACTTAACTAAGCAAAATTTCATCGGTGCTTCTTGCTTTAATATTTCACCACGGGACGCAATTTTACGGGGGGTAAATACGCGTCAAACTGCGGAAGTTCGCAACAATACTCCCGAGCTTATAAATAGTGACAGTGCTTTCGGCAAGTCCAGCGAGATACATTTTTCAGCCGTCTCTCTAGCGCAGATGGGAAACCCCTAAATGTTTGAGGAGTTCGATTTTGCGTTCGGTTGCGGTGAAAATTTTAAGGCTCGGTTGGCTTAAGCATTCGGCCGCGGTAAAAAGATTTTTACGAGCCACAGCTCCAGCAGGAGTCCGTTTCGGACCCTCTTTCCCAGATAGGACCCAGATAGGATAGCACGTGAGCCGTGTAATTGCTATCAAAGATGGATGAGCCGATGCTCCTAGTCGCGTACGTGTTTGCGAGATTGTGGATTATAAAAAATTATCATCCACAATTGGGTGAAACCCCCCCCCTCCCCCGGCATTCGAGATTTTATTCGAGAAAATCGCGGAATCGCGCGTTTCTCATTATTCAGCCTCGACTCTAGGTTCGAGCGACGACGGACAATTCGTTCATACCCGGGTGGCGGTGATCGATGTGTTATCGGTATATATGTTATGACGAATATCGCAGGAGGATACCCGTATGGTGTAATATCAGGTAGCACCGAGGAGGTGAGGACGGGCGGTAGAGGGGGAGGGGGGGGGAGCATGCAAAAGAGATACGCGCTGTAGCGTGAGTGCTGTTTCGTGTATGCGCGCGAGTAAATCCGCGCGGGTAAAGGATAAACATATCCTGTGATCGCGGCAAATGTACGAGTTCAAAAATTACACGCGCCGCTCGTCGTTGATCTTCCATAGCCATACGCGCGCTCGCGTTTCCGCAGCCGATTCGATTTATTCCCCGGTTTACTTTACCCGCGGCGAACGCGCGCTCGCTTATTCAGCCACGGTAACAGTCCGAGCTGTGCGCTGAGAAAATAAATGCCGCGTGCGGTGCGTGCGTGAATTTGGCGAATCGTTTTGACAATCCGCGCGTCGAAATCGTAAATCGGAAACACCTGATATCGAGGTGAGCGGAGTCGAACGGCTGAATACGAAGGAAAAATCTCCGCTCGATATAATCTAAGCGAAATGGGACGACGTCAGGTCAGAGCGGAATAATTAGCCCGCTTAATCTACAAAGCGCGTTTCGAGCGTTCGTAAAGCTCTCCCGAACGTCGCGGAATCACGGGAGCGTACGCTTTGGGAATGCGCGCGCGCTCCTGCACGCTCCGGGAGGATCATAGAAATTTTTTAACGCTTCGCGAGGCAAAGGGCTTAATGGGGCTAAAGGAATGGAGGATCGTTAGAAGCAGCCGGGAGGAAGTTCTCGGTCTCGCCGGAATGGACACTGTTCGACTGGTGGGTAGGTACGGGAGAATGCGGGAGATGCGTATCATCGCGGAGTGCTGTTCCATGTATGCACGAGTAAATCCGCAGATGGAGAGTAAATACACACCCCCTCGCGATCGCGCGCGCGCACGGGTTTCACCGTTGGCGCGTCACGCGTCATACGCACCCGCTTCCTCTTTCGCGTTTCGCGAGGACTCGCTGTCGCATGCGGAGTTCGTCGTCCGCCGTTCGCCGTTTGCCCAATCGAGCCACCGAATTTCTCGTCTGTGCACTCGTATACGCTTCATCAATATCCCACGTAGGAATCGTGGTACATTCGGTCAGTACTGGAGACCGGCGAGGTACCGATTCAATAGCGAAATACGGATTTCACGTCGCGATAGCAATGCCTTAAATAGGAAAGCGAGATACGTCAGTAACGCGGAGTCCGAGTAGTTCAGCGGCAAGTGCGGTTGGACGCAGGCGGGGAAGACCCGAATTCGATCCCAGCCGAGTCTACCGAGCTCTGACGTTTCTCACTTGATATGACGGTAAAAGTGGACATCCGCAGATATGAACAAGCATTCCGGACGTAGTTCTGATCCTTCCACAGCATGATGTGAGATTAATAATTATATACATATATACAATAATAATAACACTGGTCGACAAATTCTGTATTATAAATTGTACCCACTTTGAATTTCATTCTTTCCTCTATTTATGTTTAACAAAATGACAGTAAAAAAATTATCTAGCTATGGTTCACGAAATATATACTATATATATGTTTTTGTGTTATTTGTGCACTTTTTTTTTTATACATTCCCCATGTTAAAATAACACAAAATTTAGGTGGACCGTTTGTTAACACATTTTTTTACTATGTACCGTCCCTGTATTGGGAATCGATGATATTTCGTACTTTTACAACGACGGGGGTCGACACAATTACAGTACTGTATTTCGAGTTTTGGCCCATTGTTATCGTTCCACTATTCCGCCAGTGTCAACTCGGTATTGGCATCTAGTACTGTTCGATAATAATCGGTATTGGGCCAATACCTCACCAGCAGTTATTTCCTACTTGAGATCTTGTTCCCTTGCAAATTGGAAGATCACACCGAAGCTCGACATAGACAGGACGCGCACGGCGCATCTCTTCCCACCTCCTCGCCGTCGTCGTCGAAGGAGGAGAGTCAAAATGGAAATTACAGTGCGGTGATTTTACAAAAGGGTGTCGTCGCCTCCTGCACCGTGAGTTTTCCCTGACGAATCATACGCACGATCGCGCGTCCCTCGGCGAATTGTTCGTGGCGCGTGGTGCGTGAGCGATTTAGGGTAATCGCGATTTTGCGCAACGCGAGCTCGAGCGTGAAGAGATACGCGAAGTGGAGACGGCGCGACAGATAAATTCGCCGGCGAGACGGACGGCGGGATTGAAAGAGGATTGAAACTGAAGAGCGCTTTAGTTAGTCTCGCTAATCGAGTCGACATAATTTTTTATCGCTCGTGGTCAATCTCACGTGGCACATTCCACGCGTATTGTTCGGGCGTACGTGGCTTAATTGGACCGCCTCCAAGTTTCCATTCGCCTTAATCATCTCGCGCAGTCACGTACGTTCGGCATGACCGCGGGAGGTTTCCCAGGTTTCGCATGTTACGGCATGTAGCATGAAAATCGACAATTACTTCTCTCCGCCGAACACCGCGCATGTAACCGGCTACGAACGCGCCATTTTATCATCGTTAGACACATATTACGCGAGAAACTTGCGAGAAACGTGCGAGAACGCTGTTATATACATTTACCTGAGAGATTGCGACACGCAGATTCGGCTCAGTTTTCGATCGAGATCAAGTAATTTACGTCCGAATCGTTTCCCGCGATCGCTCGGCTTCTCCTCTCGTGGAACCAAGTCGATAAACAATAATCTGGCGATCATAAGGGAAGAATGCTCGTTTATATTCGTTCGTCGTAGCTTCTCTTGTTTTAATTAAAGCGTGGTGTAATCAAAATTCGTGGATAATTTAGGTTGAGATGAAGAGAACGACGCGATGAATAAGGAAAATGTTGCCACGTGACGACAGTGGATTGAAATTTACCGGTGGGAAAGATAAGCGTTTCATTCCTGATCCGCCATGATAAACGTTTCACGAGGGATTTTTCAAGAGGTGCTTGGCGATGATCTCGGGAGGGGGGAGAGGGGGAGGGGGGTAGGAGAAGTAAGGATTTTTTCAGGTAGAAAATTAAAGCGGGAGCTTAGGAGAAGCCCTCGAAATAAAACACTAATTCGAAGGATCGATATGTTCCGCACAGTTCGTGAACATGGCGCGCGAGGGTCGGCCGGTGCACGTCGAGCCAACTTCGAAATATTACTGGCAGGGATGCGATAAGGATTATGGATCCCCAATTAAAGTCCGGAAAATAATAAAAGACGAACAACGGCGGAATTACTTTCGTTCCGTCCCTCTCTTGCGACGCGGCGTTCTCCGTCTAGTTGAATTCGGAGAAGAAGTCTAAACGTTTTCAACGTTAATCCTCGGATTAAGACGGGGCGTCGATGAAATTTCTGTGATTCTAACATGTCTCTTTTTATTTTCCTTTTTTACACGCATTATTAAAATTAAAAGTGATTATGATTAGTTAATTCGAAGTATTTTAAGCGACACGCGATAGTTCTCGCGATCTTCCCGCGTCTACTCGCTCTCAGCTTCCCAATTTAATTATTTAATTATCTACCTCCCTGTATTGTTGATAGCCGCGTAACGAAATTTCAAGGATCACAGCGAGAGCGATTCGCTCGGAGGGACATGGGTGCGCTGACTTTAACATTAAAAGATTGGCGCCCCAAGGTCGGCTTGAAAGGGAGATCGCACAAAGTATCACGAGGATTATCGAACTCGGCGCTCAAGAACGCGGAAAATTAGGCTTCTCGCATTGCGGTTCAACTTCCGTCTCTCGTCATGGAAGTTCACCCCCCTGCGCTGCCTCTTCGTCACTCGCTCTTTTAACTACTTTTAACAAGGACCCTCGCGAACTTTCTTGTATTTTTGAACTGTCGACACGCGACGCAAATATATGCAGACTATTCTCTTTACATTTACGTTTTTCACTCACTGCACATTTTCCTTTCTTTCGACGAACATACTCGAGAAAGACAGAGAGAGAGAGAGAGAGAGAGAGAGAGAGAGAGAGAGAGAGAGAGAGAGAGAAAGGAAAAATTGATTATAAAAAAAATGATAAAAATCGATAAAATATGAAATATTCATAATGAAGCAAGACTTATTTACTTCTCGCTGCTCTTACAAAGATAACGCGACGCAAAGATGGGAGTTTTAACGCAGTCGCGTTCGCTGCAAAAAGGGCAAATTTTTCGCGCAGGAAATGGAACTCCCCCGTCGTCTTGGAAGACGACGCCGTAGGCTGCGACGAGCTGCTTTTCTATAACGGCTGCGCGTACATACAAACATGCGGCATCCTTTTCCGCCAGTGTAACTAGATGTGCATCTCTAGTACTCACTTTTCCATCTGGACTGCATACTTTAATCCCCGCGAGCGAGACTATCAGGAGAACGGGCGTGAATCGATCGCTGTACTGAAACAAACAGATCAGAAGTCATGCATATAGCGGCTGAATCAAAACTCCATGCGGTGGATATTTAATACTCTTGCTACTCCTTGCGCTTCTCACGTTGGAACTTAAATTCGACATTTAAAGAATTACAGATATTTCTATTTTTATACGCGTGTGATGTGTATATACAGGATGATTCCGATACGATTCTATTTAGGAGGAACAAGATATCGTATTCGATACCGCCACGTGTGCGCCGAATACAACTCACTCCTCGAGCGCAAACGGGAGCACGAAGTGAAGCGCAAACGGCCGATAACACGTTTATAATTTAGTCCACGTTCTTAGAAGCGGCTAAAGCCGAAGTATTCCCCTTCATTCGTGCTCCCCATCGGTAAGATCGAGCATCCTGCAACTTTGAAGCGGTCGTCCAATTTCGAAATTGAAAAGTTGGCAAGCCACGCGACGTGATTCGGAGTATGGGACGGACTCTACGCAGGAGTGTTCCCTGTTTCTGGTCGGAAACACGGTTCATTGTCTTGAAAAGCTAAGGTAGATGCTACTGTAGCCCGGGCACAATAGGGGATCTCCGGTATAATTATGGTAACGCACACAGGACTGTGTTCGATAGAGGACACCGGCGCAATCTTTTTCCTTCTTTCCTCCACACGACGATTCGTGAAATCTACCTCACTCGCAATATCTCTCGCTGTAGTCTCTTGCGATACTTTCAGCCGTCTCACTTGTATCACGGGATGTCCCGCGTAATTAGAACGGCGAATTTCCGTATCGACGCACAAAAACGACACCAAAGCCGCATTAAAGATAAAAAAGCTTCTCAAGACAATAGCAAGGGATCCTCGGTCTACGGTAATAATGAATTAACAATGTAGGAGCAACCTCGATCTCGGAATTGACATTGTTTACGTCCGCAGCACGCTTTATTTACAAGCACTCGTAACGAAGGTATTTTGATACGGCGATTGTGAAGAAGCGAGCGATGGCGAGGGCGTAATTTAATGTAAATTAGTTTAATGTATCTTCGCGTAGCTTCAAGCAGTTTAAGAGCCCTTGTTTCTCAAGACACGACAATAATTATGCCTCCTTATTATAAGAATATCCGACAATAAGGAAAGCCCTTCCCCGTCAACTGTGTCTTGCGTACTTCCGACTGTCTCCATCTCAGCGCTAGAGGGTTGCTATTTAATCCGTTGCTACTTCACGCTTTTTCTTCCAGCAGTTATTTATTTCAGAGGGATGCCTGTTTCATTTCTCGGTATGATGTTTTCGTTTCTGTTGCTTGCTTAAATATCGCGCAATCAGATAAAAACATATGATCACGAATAAAAATTGAATCAATAGAATTAAATATAAATAGATATGTAATAAAAGCATAAGCTGCATAAAAAGATAACGTCATAAATATGTCATAAAGATAACGTTATAAATAATGTTTAACAATGTCGTGTTAAGGTCTATCTTTTGTTCAGTTACAGAAGAAGTAGCGTGTTAAAGTTCATTTTACGTCTCGTTAATTTCCGTTAAATTCCGTTAGACTTCACGCTTGTAGCAAAGATGTCCGTCACAATTTGTGTCGGAAAGAAAAATTTGACAGATCATACAGGATATCTGCGCGTCGAGCGGTAATAGCTTGGTGATTCACGTTGCGCGCAAAAAAATCGCCGATTCGTTCGAGCAAGTCGCTTGAACGACTTGCTTATGCGTTCGTCCTCCATTCGATATCCATCAGGAGACTACAGATGTAGCATTCATGGAGCGCAAGAATTTTTTTCCTTATCACTCTGTTTCTGCTTTTTCCTTTCGCCATTGCCGACGCTGTCATCATCGAGAAATATCCGATGCGACGTCACGACGGCGCGAATACGAAACGTCGCAATTTTCCTCGTCGCCAGGAATATGACTTCTGTTTTTACACGCGACGACATATAATAAGACGTCGGAGAAAGCGGAGATAGTGAATATTAGACAGACGAGGTTTCATGAAATATTCTCCAAATTGCTACATTATGCAATACATCATAAATTAAACGGTGTGCGTTAAAGGCTTTCCCGTTTTTATTGAACACATTTAACGACTTTCAGAAATGTTCCATACGATAGTTATGGTAAAAATATCAATGCCTGGACACGTAACTGCGGGCATTCTTGTTATTTTAGTCTAAATGCACCAAAAAAATTAGTATCAATTCAAGACTCATATTCTCATATATTTTTTTAGCAACTTGTATCTTCACATCAGATTATATATTCTCGCTTGTACGTATATAAGAACGTGAGTTTTGAATTAATATTAATTTTTGTTCCGCGTACGGATGTTTAATCTTTAAACACAAAATATTCGTATATATTCAATATATGTATATACATTCTATGTTGAAAGTTTAAATATTAAGAATGCCCAGAGAGTTAGTTACATATGCAAACATTAATACTTTTATCTCACACTTCGTAAATTGCAACGCATCCCGAATAATTACGTTGATTTTACCGTGGATGGCGCTGTTTGCGAAGAAAAAAAACCCCCAATCGGTAAAATTCCTCAACTGAAATATATTCTCTTTCTACTCTGCTCTACTTTTATTTCTACTCTTTATACTCTATTTACACTGTTTCTCCTGATAAAATTTACGACTGACATCGAGGGGAAGTGCAGCCGTGCAACACGGTTCCTTTGATATTCGTGTCTCCCTTTCCCAGTAGTGCTTATTTAACTCATCGCCGCGACGGCTACGCGTGGACAAGATCCTCGCGCGAGCCGATGCTACCGTCTCTGTTGAGACGATGCATCCTGGACGCTGAACTTTCCGCGGAGTGCACCGCGCGCGAACTTAAGGCTTGCTTAAGTAAACCGCCAGACGCGGTTGCGAATACGCGGAAAAGGCGTGGTGGAAGCCTCGTCAACCGTCCGGTCTGTCGGAGTCCCGGGTCCAACCCCCGTCGCCGTACACTCGTCGTTACGCGCCGACATGGTACGGAGGGGTTGCAGCGAACGTTACGAAGGAACGACCGTCGCGTCGGCGTCTCGCAGGAAGACTCGTGTGAAATTTATTCACCGGCTGGAAAACAGCCGAGCTACGAGAGACATTCGTGTCTCTCTCGGAGTGACCGGCCTTCGGGTGACCTTAAGACTTCGTTTACGGCCCGCGTCCGTCAGACGCGTCCACAGTCACATCGTTCCGACGGGGGGAAGAAGTCGTTTCGACGAACGTCTCGCCTTCTCTCGAATCGCTCCCGCTTCCAATTTGTCAACAGGTAAAGCTACAGACGACCACTGGCGCTACGGTTGATCCTTCCTCTAATTACGGTGTCCTTCCGACGCGATCTTTGCATTTTACTTTATTACCCGTCGGTGTTTCTTTTCCTCCGCCGTGTGTCCTCCTCTCTTTCTCCCTGACATTCTCTCAGCCCGATTACCCGCTTATCCCCGAAACAATCGAGTTACGTGAGACGTAAGGATGTTATCCAATTACCGAGGTCGCGCCGGAAAGTAATTTGCAGGCCGCTACTCGATTATCTTTATCGCGACTCGCTATCGGCGCGATCGTAATTACTGTTCTAATATACGCGCTAATTACGCGTCAGCGACGCAGATACATGATGATGACGACAAAAACAATGGGCCGGCATTGCGACGACAATCTGGTCTCACGGTGTCGGCGCGAAAGAAGCTCCATTATTCTCTCGTTGCCGCATAATCGCGCGACATGGACGAAGGAAGAAGGGAACCCATGTAGGAATCGTACGCATTCAGCCTTTACATAAGTTTATCATTTACTGAAAAAAAATATTTTCCTATTTATTTAATAATTGTTAATTTTGAACGAAATGGAGACAAATATATACATACAATATTACAAACTCGGAGATATTATTTATGTTTAATTTTTCTCATTTATTTACGCATTTATACATTAGTCGAGCTAATGGAATTGCGCACGTAACAGAAAGTGGTATATAAATATTTGAATATGTGTATGTATACGTATATCGCGGATATTATTATAAATTGTAAATTACTTACGGCTATATTCAAAACAAAATGATCAATAATTCTGATATTATTGTATAATATCTCTATATTAATTCGTAATATTGTTTTTCATTAATATCCCAAATGCGGTTTAGAAGAAATTAAAAATGGAAATTGGAAAGAAAAATAGAGAAATAGGACATTATATAACGTACAAAATATACAAAATGTGTCGTACTTGGTTGCGAATATCTCAGCTTTCGGATGGCCAATTGATTTTGTTTTATTTTACAAACGTGTAGATAGTACTTCCATCAGTATGTAAGTAAATTTTAAAAGACTCTTAAGAAAATAGTTTGACAGAACAATTACTTTAAATAGCTCAGTGATAAAAGCGGTTGCTCGTCAAAGCAGAGGACCCGAGTTTCGATTTCAATTGAATCTGCCTCGCTCCGGTCCTTTTCATCTTATATGGTATTAAAAATAGACATCTGTAAGTAAAAACAAGCATCCCCAGCCCATATTCTGCTTCTTCCTTACACAATACAATTGTTGCAGTAACAATAACCAGTACTAGGAATCGATACTGTCCCAACATAGGAATTCCATAATTTTTTATTATTATTTGTGCAATATTATAAATCGATACAATTACAGTGCTGTTTCTCGAGTCTTAACTTATTATTATCACCCCAATATTCCATATCAAATCGGCATTGGAACATCTAATACTATTCACTACAAATCCGTACTTACGCCAGTACCTTGCCAACAGTTACTTCCTACTTGGAAAGCGACGGCAGTGATGCATTTTGTGCCACGCGCTGCGTAACAGCTCTACTCTAATCCCTCCTCCTCCCCTATTATGATAAACGCTTCCCACAGATAATCGTGAATTTTGCAACCGTAGACGCGCACAGATCGAACGTGGTTGGAACCAAGTTTTCTTGTTTCGACGAGTATGGCTAACGAGATTGTAAACAGAATTTGCGCCTAGGCAAAGTAGACGGGGGGCAAGAAATAACGAGGA